TAAAAGTTTATTTCTGGCTTCCTAATAGGATAAAATAAACCTTTATTTTTGGTGCCAACAGTGGAACCTAAGTAATAAAACAACTCCCCCTCCTCTTCCCTTTCCCTCTTCCCCTCCTTCGTCTCCTTCTTCTTTTTTTGGTGCCAGGGATCAAACTCACAACCTGTGCTTGCCAGACAGGTGCTTATGCCACAATGCTAAATCCCGGCCCCTTTTAAAGGCTTCTATACGCTTGCACTGCCCCTCATACAGACCAATGTGAACACCAGTATATTTAAAGGTACTTCAAAACTGGACAGATACGGTGAAAACTTCTTCCAAGCTTCTGAAGTTGTCTGGCTTCACTTACAAGGTGACAGTGTATTTATTACAGCTACTATCTTACTTGGCAGATGACAGTAACTATAACTATCATTCCTACTGTCACTCCCACGATGTCAGCCACACCTTCCCTCTGTGGAGCAGCTGCTGCAGGCCAGGTGTTAGGTGCTTTCCATATGTGACAGCTGATCCTCAAGAGCCTTGTGAGGAAAATGTGATTCCTTCCATTCAATTCAGTTTATTTCTTTATTTATCTTTGTTTGTTTGTGTGTTTCAGTACTGAGGGTTGAAGCCTGGGACCTTACAACACTTAACTACATCCCCAGAGCTTTCCACATTTACTTTGAGACAAGCTCTCACTAAGTTGCCCATGCTAGCCTTGAACATGCGATCCTCTCGTCTCAGATTCCTCAGTAGCTGACACTACAGGCATGCTCCACCACACCCAACTGATTACTGCCACTCTAAAGGTAAAGAAACTGAGGATCACCAAGATAAAAGTTATTCAAACGGCAGAGGCTGGGACTAGCGGTGCAGCTCATAGGATGGGGGCTTGCCTAGCATGTAGGAACCCTGGTTCAACCCTCAGCACTCAAGCAACAAACACAAAGCAGAGGCAGATTTGAAACTGAGTCTGTCTAACACCAAAGTGTATGATCTTCTCGCTTTGGCACACTATTAATCATCTGTTATCAGCCAGCTCCTAGGCTGGTCATTTAAAGAATATATTTAAACTCTCAAAAGTAATATTAAGGGGCTGGGGATTTAGTTCAGCGTCATAAGTGCCTGCCTGGCAAGCATGAAGTCATGAGTTTCACCCCTGGTACCAAAAAAGTCATATTAAGAGATAGACCACAAATCATGGGTCAAATGTTCCAGGAGCTCACTGCTAGTCACTGACAGTTAAAAGAAAAATACGCTCTTGATTTATTGTTGGTAAAATAAATCTAAAATTATAATGACTACCTTTAGCATAAAGGAAACAACTCAGTATTAAAGAGCTTAAAACTAGAATCAGGTAAAACAAAAGCAGATTTATGTAGCTATGTCTTTTTGGGAAGATGAGGGCAACCCCAGGGATGGAACTCAGGGCCTCACACATGCTATGCAGGCCCTCTACCACTGACCCACATCTCCAACCTTAGCTATGTTCCTTCAAGGTAGGAAATTAGGCCAGCCACAAAAGATGAGAGAGAGACAGAGAGACAGAGAGACAGAGAAGCAGAGAGAGAGAGAGAGAGAGAGAGAGAGAGACTGACTCAATTTACATTACAAAGATTAACACCACATGGGGCCAGGGATTTAGCTTAACAGCATAAGTACCGGCCTAGCAAGGCAAGGCATGAGTTCAATCCCCACTAACCCCCCCCCCCCAAAGTCAACCAATAACAAATACTGATGGGCCTATGGGGAAAAAGGAACCCTTCTCCAGTGTAGTCGGGAGTGTAGACTGATGCAATCACTGTGGAAATCACTCTAGAAATTCTTTTAAAAACCAGGATTAGAGGTCCCACTTGACTTAGTTATCCCCTTCTGGGTATCTTTCCAGAAGAATTTAAAACATCTTATCATAGCAATATATGTGCACCCATGTTTATAGCAGCACAATTTGTAATAGCTAAACCTTGGAAGCAACCCAAATGAACATCAACTGAGGAAAGGATAAAAAAGGTGTGGATTTTTTATGGAGTACTACTAAAGAGGGTAGTCATTTTTCATTTACTGCCCTTGATCTTTAGCAGAGTCTATTCTCTTTCTCTCTCTCTCTGCAGTGAGATAAAACCCCAAACTTTGCACATGCTAGGTAAGCACTCTGTCACTGAGCTATCCTTCAGAATCCACTTCAAATCAAAATAACACGGTGCCTTGAACAGAAAATATAAAATGAAAGTAACATTTCTACCATATTGCAGAAAACAGATTAAAATTACTACCCAAAAGGAAGAACACACAAGACAGTCTTAGAAAAAAGACAAAGAACTCTCATTTACTGAGCACTCGCTATGTGCCAGTCACTGTCCTGAGTATTCACCATCCATATTTGTTTATATAATCCTTATTCCCATTTCACAGATAAGGAATGTGTAATGAGACTAAAAACCTGACCAGGATGACAGAGCTAAGTGTCCAGTAAGTGGAAGAGAGAGGACCTGAACTCTTGCAGACAGTCCATGCTCCAAATAAATTTTTCACAAAATGGAGTATCACTAAAACTTGACAAAGGACAGTATCACTAATGTCTGCTGAGAGCACAATGCTGCAGCTTGCCAGCCCTATGGACGTAACACTTTGGGACTCAGAATATTGAAGATGGGCTGACACAGGAGGGCGGCAGTTCTTCTTATGAAGAGTAACATGACATTGACATCTCTATCAAAGCTAAAAAAACTTTAAGAATGAATTTTAGTAAGAGAAGCAACTGTGTTCAACATTTTAGGTTTGTTGTTGTTTATGTTACTATTTGTTTGTGTTCAACATTTTGGGTTTGTTGTTGTTTGTGTTACTATTGTACCATTTTACAAATAAAGAAACTAAAACTCAGACAGGTAAAATAATTTGCTTAAGGTCACACAGCCAGCACCTAAATTCACGTTTGTTGGGCCTAAAAGCCTGTGGTAGAAATAATACATGTCCAGTTAGCTAAGTGTGACCACTAAGCGCCCTTAAGTAGAGACAAAGCACAGTGTGTGCTGCTCATTCGAGCCTGAGCTCTACCATCTCCACCTCCCCGGCAGAGGATCGGCGCGCCAGAGAGCTCGAGAAGGCTGCCCTGTCCAAACACTGAGCTCTGCTGGTCTCTTCAGAATACAGGCTGGTAACTCTCTGATGTCAATGAAAATTTGGGAAGATAAGCTAACTGGAAAAACACCCAAAGACAGACCAGTGTGTTCAGCTTTCAGTACATGCACGAGGACAAAGTTCACCTCAGTTCTGAGGGAAAGAACAAGGTGCTTCAAGACTGAACTCAAACACAAGAAGCTCCAAAGGAGAAGAAACAGCGCCCACTCTCAGTTTTCCTCTAAAAAGATTCTGTGTTACGTTTTGACAGGAAATGATGGGACTCGGTCAGGCAGAAAAAATCCTCCTGAAAGTGTTTAACATATTTACTGAGATAATAAGAAACATACTTTAATAGTGGGTACCTCACTATTAGGTAACAGATTTTGATAGAAATTTCAATCCATATTTAGGCAGCGTTTCCACATATGAAACTGTTCTATTACAAATAATTACCACTGCAGATGATAAAGGATGAGAAATTATTGCTTTCTTTTTTAGCTCTCCTTTCCTACCTACCTGTGTGCGTGCTCGCTCTCTCTCTCTCTCTCTCTCTCTCTCTCTCTCTCTCTCTCTCTCCACTCACACCCCTATGAGCCAGCTGTTTCTCTGGAAATCACTGACTCTTCCGCGCATTAGTACTGTCACCCTACCTGGAATTCCTTGCTCTTCCCCTTTTCTAATTACTTGGAAACCTTCTCCTTGGCTCCTCTGCTCTGGCACCTCTCACAGCATTTGACCCACTATTTACTTTCTGATCTCCACAAGAGATGAAAAATTCTTCAGAGACAGAATTCTTAAGAATTCTTACGGTCTTTTGTTGTTTGCTTGGGAACTGACCAGGACTCTCCATGTTGTACAGGCTGATCTTAACTCCTCCGCTCAAGAGAGCCTCCTGCCTCAGCCTGCGAAATACCTGAGATTACAGGCATGCACTACTGTGCCCAGCTTCACTGTTCTTATACAGTATCCCAGTACTGAGCATAGTTAAGTTCTTAATACAAAGTTTATAAAATGAATGAAAATACATTTCCAAATTAAGAGCTCTTTCGAAATAAAAGAAAACGATATACGCCAGGCATGCTAATACATGTCTATAATCCTACCACTCTGGGAGACAGGAAAATCACAAGTTCAAGCCCAGCATACACAATTTAGCAAATCAGCGAGACCTTGTCCAAAAAATCAAAATAAAAAATAAAAAGCTAGGGATGTACCTCAGTGTGATGGTTCAATTCCCAGCGCAGGGTTGGAGGGTGGAAGGACTTGAGCTATCTAAAATGCACACCTTGGGCAAACAGTTTTATTCTGGCCCTCACTGTTTATAAGGGTATACTTCAAAACACTCATGGAAGGAGTCACCCACCGGACACTGGCAAACATCCATCTGTAAAAATATTGCCATTTTAAGGGCTACAGATGCAGCTCACTGTAGAGCACCTGCTTAGCATTTCCGTGCTCCTGGGTGGACCTGATTTTCGGTCACGACTATACATACCGTAAAACCAACATGAAACACATTAGCAGTGTGTTTGCTAGTGTGTGAGAAAAGCCCATTAGCAATTACACTGAATAGCCAGGTGCTCCCCAGCTTTGTCCCTAACTGCTCTGGAGTCCAGCCATTTACCCTTCCGTCTCAGATTCCCCACTCATAAAGTGGGGGTGCCCATCCCTGGAACTTCCTCTCATGGGGATCCTGCAGTCTTAATTCCCGTAAGCGCACAAATCTCTGTCATAAAGACACTATCTTCCAATGTGTTCCACAGTCCGAAGTCTTCTCCAGCATCCTCCACCGCGGACACAGCCCTCACCTCCCCCCGGTTCTCCCGCCGGCTTCCCCCGACCCCGACCCCGACCCCGACCCCGGGCAGGGCGGCCAGCCGGCGGCGGCGGGAGCTCACCTGGCCTCGGCCCCGGGCGCGCGGGGCGGGTGCGGGACGAACACGCCGCAGTCGGACGGCGCGGGCTGCGGCTTCCTTCTGGAGCGCCAGAGGTGGAAAGAGCTGTGCTTCTTGGGGCCTCTGGCCGGGCTGGGGTCGCCCTGCGCGGGCGCCGACCGCGGCATCTCCTCGTGCGCCTCGCGCCAACTGCCGGCCGGCGCGCGCCGCCCGCACCCCGCGGAGGAGGAGGACGCGCCCGCGCCCCGCGCCGCCCCCCGGCGCGGCCGGCCCCGCCCCCTGGCGCCCGAGCGGCGAGGCCGAGGGCCGCGGCGGGCGACGGCCGGAGGGCTCCACCCGGACCCGCGACCGGGCGCAGGCGCCGCCCACGGCGAGCAGCCCGGGCCGGGCGCGCCCAGGTGAGGAGCTCCGGGGGCCGCCGGGGGGCCACGCGTCCCCGGCCCGCGCCTGCGGTGCAGCGCCCCCGCCGGCCCCCCTCGGAACTGCACCTCCTCGGGGTCGGTCGGGGTTACCCCGGGTGCCCAGGTCGCCCGCAGACTTGGCCGCCTTGGCCCGGTGCGTGGGAAAGGTCGGCGGGGCGCGTGCTCCGGCTGCGCCGCCGGCAATGAGGACTGTGTACTGCGGCCTTCGGGCGGCGCGGGCAGTGTCTGCGTGCCCTGCGTGGACGGCGTGGCTTCCCGTGTTTGTAAACAGAATTGGTAACAATTGTTCTCTGGTCTCCAGGGCCCCAATAATGTGTGCTCACATCTCAAAAAGCAACAGAAGCAAGAGCCACGTCCCTGACTTTCCAGAGGACTCACTCAGATCCTGCAGGGAGTTGTGTATCAGTCCCACAAGGTTCTGGTCACCTGCTTGGTTACTTTCTTCTCCTAACTTTACGATGGTGGTTAAATAGCATAAAAATATAAGAGCTATTAGTTTGGGCATCATTAAAGTATAAAGAGCTCAAGAACTACTGCTTTAAAAACGCAAAGCAGTACAAATCCTTCTGCACTGTGATGTGGTCTTTCTTTTCCTCTTTGAAGGTTGGGTTCATTTATTCATTCATTCATCCTCTCACTTTTTGAAAGAACATACATTTTTATTGATGTATTATTTGTTTTTATCAGTGTATAAATCCCCATATGATAAAATGCACAAATTACAAGTATATAGTAATTGCGATTTTTACCTTTTTTGGGTTAGAAGTCCAAAATGTCTTGACAAAAGGACAGTGGCGATTGTCCTCCATCAGTTTGTGGCTTTTAAAAATATAAGGTATCAGGGGCTGGGGATTTAGCTCAGCGTTATTAGCGCCTGCCTTGCAAGCAGGCAGTCGTGAGTTCAATCCCCAGTACCAATAAAAAGGAAAAAGACCAAAAAAAAAAAAAAAAAAAAAAAAAAAAAACCAGGCCCAAAAAAAAAAAAAAACATGAAGTATCTCCAAAACTTCAAAAATCTCATGTCTGCTTCCAGAACACTTCTGTAAAAGTTAACCAATATTCCAGTTGCACAGAGATTCACTTGCCTCTTATGGAACTTTAAGTGGAATCACAATATATATCTGTTTCTGTCTGATTTTTTTTTTCCACACGCATTAGCCTGTGAAAAACCATCCTTACTATTGCTCAGAGCAGTGTGTCTGTTTTCGCAGCACTGGGAACTGAATCCAGGGCCTTACACATGCTCCTTACACATGCTCCTTCTACCACTGAGCTAACGATCCTCAGCCTTTGTCTTTAGCCCAGGCTGGCTTTGAACTCATGGTTCCCCTGCCTCAGTGCCATACTTACAAGCACCAGCCCAGCTGATTTCCCATCCCTCTCTGAAACATTACTTTGAGACAAAGTCTTGCTAAGTTGCCCAGGCTGGCTTGGAACTTGTGATCTTTCTGCCTCAGCCTCTCAAATAACTAGTATTATAGGCATGTGTCACCACATCCAGCATTTCTTTATTTTTAAAACAATTATTCTATTTTATTCTATTCGATGTATTAATATGCTGCAATTAATTTACTTGCTAGTGTAGACTGACATTTAGATGATTTCTATGTTGAATCTAGTATAAAATAAAGTTGATAAGACTCATATATATATATATATAGTTATCAATGCCCACCTAGTACTTCTGTCTCTAAGTAAAAGAATAACAGGTCCAACTTTGGTGAACTTTTTGCCAACAAGTTCTCCAAAATGACCTTGTAGCCTTTTATACTCCTTCAGAAATGTTTGAAGTTTCCAATTTTCAACAAGACTTGACAGTCTCAGTTCTTTTTATTTCGGTCTTTCTGATCAAGATGAGGTGGTGTCTCATTGCAGTTTTAATTTAAATTTGCTCAGAACACATAAATTAAATTCCTTGCACACTCATCATCTGCCACTCCCGGCTTGGAGAGGAGCACTGAGAGATACGTGGCTGATACACATCAAAGAGTAAAAGAATCGAGAGGTGTATGTACAGGTGTAATGAGTATTTGGAAAATTTCCTTATTTATCCTGGTGTTTTGGAAGGGAGATAGGGGAATGGCCAGTAGAAATTTATTATAAAGCTAGCCTTGAGTTGGACATTAAAGAACACAGGAAATAGCAAAAAGGGGATAAGCAAAAGACAGAGAGGAGAAAAGGGGAAGAGAAAAAATTCTGTATGTACTCAAATATTTATATGTCCGGGAATTCATTGTTGTCTCTCCCAACCTGAGTTGCTCAGCTCACCCTTCTTCATGCCACTGTGAATTAGCAATTCGTTTCATGCTTTTCACATTCCATTAAAATTGTTTGTTTACATGTCTGTTTCTCTAATTAGCCTAAAAGAAACTTAAAGACACTTCTAATTTATCTATATGTTTTCTGGACAGAAATATCTAATAATTAAAATAATTCACTGATTAGTGAACTAACTCAGCTGCACACCAAGGGTGTTTCAGGCACCTATCTTTTAGAGTACGCAGTTCATAAAACTCAAAGTCACATGTCTTTTCCCCACTGTTCTCCCTAATGACTAGAACTGTGCCTGGCGTAGACACTTGACACATATTTGTGATAAAAAATATTCAAAAAATTAGAGACACAGTCACTGAGATTAATAAAATGGAGGAGCCAGACATGAAGTCAAATACAAGATTTTGTAAGTATTCCAACCTACATATGTCAGTTAGTCAATGCAAAAACAGACCCAGCTGGATATGGTGGTATATGCCTGCAATCCTAACTGCTTGGGAGACTGAGGCAGTAGGATTGAAAGTTCAAGTTTAGCCTGGGCAACTTAATGATACCCTGTCTCAAACTACAAAAATAAAAAGGGCTGGGAACGTAGTTTAGTGGCCGAATACTTCCTCAGTACCCATGAGGCCTTGGTTCAATCCCCAAACAGAAAAGAAAGATTCATTCAAACTTGCGTAAGCAGTTAATCGTGGGGGATTAGGTGGGGTATTAGGTATTAGCCAGAGAACCAGACTATAAAGCACAGACATTCTCAGCCACCCCAAAAGGGTGATCTAGCGAATACCACCTTCATTATCCTTCAGAGGTGGGTCTGTGTACCAGCAATTCTGCCATTCAGACCAGTCTTGCTAAGTTACTCTTCTATCTCATTCCCGTGGCACAAATATTGCTCACTCGTGAGAAAAAAATTTCTACCCAGGTACATCTGATTGCAAGAGCCTGAGTCATTTAACTGTTCCTTAGCTATAAGGAAATTTTTTATTTTCTGGGTTCTGCCTCAGAGAAATGGAATTCATGAGGCTAAAATTTGCCAGCATGCTACAGGTATTCAAAAGAGGTTAGGTGGCCTAAAACCTGAACAATAGCCACTGCTGGAGGAAAGGCCAAAGGGCTGTAGGCACACAGAAGTGACTAACTCTATCTCAATGCCTTGGGGAAGTCATCAGCAGAGAGATGGCACGTTTATGAGCTGTGACTGATGAATAAGAATTTACCAAGTAGAGAAGAGAGGGCGGGCAGTTTAGGAAGAGTAAACAACATAGGTCAAGGCCCCAGATTGTGAAAGGGCCCTTGTTGCTGGTAGCGCATAATCAGCGCTCAAAGAAGTTGGAAAAAGGGGGCCCAGGGTGGGGCAGAGTGGCAGGAGATGACACTGATCATACCAAGTGGAGCCAGTTTGCCCAGCACTTGGTAAGTCATGCTTTTAAGGAATTGGGACTCAGCTCAGTAAGCAAAGGCTGCTACAGTTTGGATTTTAAGTGTGACCCAAAGGCCCATGTGGCAAAGTCTTAGTCTTCGGTATGATGCTGTTGACAAGTGGCAAAGTGGTTGAAAGGTGGGGCCCAGGGAGAGGCCTTTAGGTCACTGGGGCTGTGCTTTTGAACACAGCAGAGGGACACTGGCCCCTTCCTTCCCTCTCTTTTGCTTCCTGGCATGAGGTGAATGGTTTCCCTCTGACACGTTCCCATGCCATGGTACGCTCCCTTGTCACAAGCCCCTAAGCAAACTGGCCAACTGATGATGAACTGAAACCTCCCAAACTGTGAGCCAAACAAACCTTTCCTGTTTATTAGTTGATTATTCCAAGGACACGATATGCTAATGGAAATCTGACCCGGGGACCCATGTTACATTTTAAAGTATAGGATAGGCAGAAAAATACCTAGATCTGAGTCCAGCTCTGCTCTAGAAGTTGTATAACTTCATGTGCAAAAGTTTACTCCGACTGGGTTTTATAAATCTTACTTACAGTGCTCTACGTCTCATTTCTCTTTGTCCAACAATCGAGGTCCATTTCAGATCTTCTCTTGTCCTCCAAGAAGCCAACCCCCTTCAACCTACCATTCTAAATTTTTTTTCTACCATTCTATTACATTTTTAAAAATCTGAATCTAAGTGGACATTCTGGTAGTTTTTTTAAAATGCCTGACAGGTGCTGTGGGCTTCTAGGGTACCCCTTCCAGACTTTGTTGTCCTGAACAAAGAATTAGACAGGAAATGAAGCGATGGGGTTTTACATTTATTAAAAGTACTAAAGCTTTTAAAGGAAAGAAAAGAAACTATTCTGCAGGGTCAGTACAAGCCAATTAAAGTAGGAAAAGAAGTATGTTTTGCTTGCAATATGGTCCCCTGAGAAAAATAGCAGGCAGTGGCCACAGGCCACCATCATTATAGCCTCATTCTAATGTTAGATCTAAGCTGTCATATAAAAACCCAGTTTGACCTTGTGCCAAAAGCATTTAAGATAGCATTCTCTGATTGGT